GCCAATGTGAGGAAGACTTTACACAGAGTCAACCCATGGAAGGCTGCTGGACCAGACAACATTCCTGGCAGGGTGCTCAGAGGATGTGCAGACCAGCTGGCAGATGTTTTCACGGACATCTTCAACACCTCCCTGAGCAGCACCGTTGTTCTGATTTGCTTCAAGGCCACCACCAACGTTCCCGTGGCAAAGAAGTCTCCAGTGTCCTGCCTCAACTACTACTGTCCCGTTGCACTTATGCCCATCATCATGAAGTGCTTCGAGAGGCTCCCCTGTAATTCGCTTACTGCCCCAACCGCTCAACAGATGACGCCATCACCACCACCCTCCATCTGGCCCTCACCCACCTGGACAATAAAGACACATATGTTCAAATGCTATTCATAGACTTCAGTTCAGCATTCAACACAATCATTCCTCAGAACCTGATTGGAAAGCTGGACCTGCTGGGCCTGAACACCTCACTCTGCAGTTGGATCCTGGACTTCCTGACTGGAAGACCTCAGGCAGTCCAGCTCGGGAACAGCATCTCCAACACCACCACACTGAGCACTGGGGCCCCACAGAGCTGTGTGCTCGGTCCATTGCTGTTCACTCCGCTGACTCACGACTGTGTAGCAATGCACAGCTCGAATCACATCAAGTTCGCTGATGACATGACCGTGGTAGGTCTCATCAGCAAGAACGATGAGTCAGCATGCAGAGCGGAGGTGCAGCGGCTAACGGACTGGTGCAGAGCCAACAACCTGTCTCTGAACGTGGACAAAACTAAAGAGATGGTTGTTGACTTCAGAAGAGCAAAGAATGACCACTCTTCGTTGAACATCAGCGGCTCCTCCGTGGAGATCATCAAGAGCACCAAGTTTCTGGGTGTTCACCTGGTGGAGAACCTCACCTGGTCGCTCAACACCAGTTCCATAACTAAGAAAGCCCAGCACCTGTACTTTCTGAGAAGACTGAGGAAAGCACATCTCCCTCCCCCAATCCTCACGATGTTCTACAGAGGGACTAACGAAAGCATCCTGTGCAGCTGCATCACTGCCTGGTTTGGGAATTGCACCGTCTCGGACCGCAAGACCCTTCAGTGGATTGTGAGGACAGCTGAGACGATCATCGGAGTCTCTTCCCTCCATCACGGACATTTACACCTCATGCTGCATCCGCAAAGCAACCAGCATTGTGGATGACCCCATACATCCCTCTCACACACTCTTTACCCTCCTGCTGTCTGGTAAACGGTACCGAAGCATTCCGGCCCTCACGACCAGACTGTGCAATAGTTTCTTCCCCCATGCCATCAGACTCCTCAATACTCAGAAACTGGACTGAAGGAACACACACACACACACACACACACACACACACACACACATATATATATATATATATATATACAGTCAGGTCCATAAATATTGGGACATTGAGACAATTCTAACATTTTTGGCTCTATACACCACCACAATGGATTTCAAATGAAACGAACAAGATGTGCTTTAACTGCAGACTGTCAGCTTTAATTTGAGGGTATTTACATCCAAATCAGGTGAACGGTGTAGGAATTACAACAGTTTGCATATGTGCCTCCCACTTGTTAAGGGACCAAAAGTAATGGGACAGAATA